ATAGATGCCTACAGCTTCTCCACTTGCTCCTTAAAAATTTATCTCCATGAAGAGAGATTCTGAGCCTCCAGTCAGTCTGCTCCTGTGCCTCCGGCACACCGCCTTCTATATACTTAAACCCTATTAATGCCCATCTCACACTGCTTTTTAAGGCTGACTATTTTTCCACATAGGCCATTTTTTTTCCAGCTGCAAGTAATCCTCATTGCTCTCCTTCTCTGAGGGAAAAGGATTTCTTTCTGTCTTACAGATATTTTGTTTTTTCAATATGATATCTTTTTTCTTTTTAATGCAGTGATGCATTATTGTATTATATTTGGCTCCTGATCCACACTAGCCCTTGTCTTGTGTATGAAAAACTGCTCCTTTCCTAGTTATTCTGCATCCAGTGTTGTCAATTATGCCTATATATGTGTAATACCTTGCTGTTACTCAATTTTGTTCTATTTTCTACAATTCAGCAAGCTACGTTTGGATTTTAGACCTGATTTTTAGACCTGTTCATGAACCCTCACAGGCTTCAGTTTATCTTCCATGTGGGCACTGCTGAACAATTAAATAGGTGACCCAGGACAGACTAAATGCTGAACTCCACTTGACACCTTCTGGTTTTGTAAGGGACCACTTAGAACAGCTCAGAAACAGCTATCCAATTTCACACTAACCCATAGAATTTCTACCAAACGCAGGTTTTCTAAAACTTTTATAATAATATCTTGTGACACAGTGCTAGAAATCTTACCAATGTCATAATCTAACAGTATACTGCTTCTTCCATAGCCACAGGCACAGCAAATACCCTATTGTAGAAGAAAACTAAATTAGGTAGACACAATTTGCTCTTGACAAACTCCTACTCACCTCCTTAGTATATGCTGGGAGTTTACAAACAGTTTTTTACGGTTCCTGAGTTTGTAGGCACAGAAGTAATCTCCTTCAAATTTCAGTCTTTCTCAGCTTGCATTGTGTTTAACTCACAGCCATAACCATGTATGAGATTTCCAACTGTCCCTCTTTGGGAAATTCCTGCCTCATAAATTTGGAGAAAAAGGCAGGTTTGTGTGTTCTACAGATAATTAATTCCTCCATCTCTGGAACAGAAGCCTGTGTAACCCCTTCCATGTATAACTGGCTCCAGATGCTGTAGCTGGTAGGAGCTGCAATCAAAGCCCATCCAGAACTTCAGCATTGCTTTGGTTTCTTTCCTGGGCAAGTCCTCTGTTATTTTAACAACATGGTTCTTGAGACAGGTTGTCTCAGAGGCCTGGCTTCTCTACGTGACCGTCCGTCTTATGCAGCTTGTAGGAAATTATCTCTAAGGCTCTTGACTCTGTCAGATTTCATAAAAATAAGCTGGGAGCTCTGAAGTTATCAGAGAAATGCAGTGGTATGACTATATTCCCCTTGTTTCCGTGGGAAAAAATGTCGACCATCTCCAGACAGAGCAGGCTGAGTGGTGGCACAATATATGAGCCAATACACCAGCTGTTTTTGACATCCTGTCAACTACAGACATTAACTCTGAGTGAGTAACACTCTTGAATTATAGTTATGCTTCCACAAAACAGTTATTTCAAGCCTGATCACATCGGTTTATAGGGATCCGCAAATGTCTCAAAGAAGGTGTTTTATGTGCAGTGAGAGGAACTGTGGTTAAAGGGAAGGAGGGGAGGGGCAGGTCCAAGGCTGCTCTACAGCCATTATCTCCCTCCCTAGGTTGGAAGCACATTCTTGGGTCACAAATACTGAAGATTCATGCTTTGTTCTCCCAGACACATCCACTCTATCCTGGTCTTCTCGATTTCTGGAAATACAGGCCACTCATTTCTAGACATTTCTTGCTACTTGTCCTTGTTGGTTCACAGGCTTGCAGTTTTCCAAGTACTGGCTCTACCTGCAAAACACTAGTTTGCTCAGCAAAGTAATCTCTATCTCATTAATTAATGCTCTGCTATCCAATGCAGTCTCCTTCCTTCTCTAAGAGTCTGAACTCCTATTACCTGTGTGAGAGGGAAGTTACCTTTACTATACCTCAACACATTATACTGGCAGATGCATTCTTTTCCACAAACACAATGTATGAAAAGGCAAACGATATTTTTTCTGAATGCAATTTAATGTTCCAAAGTATTACACGCTTTCCACAAACATTCAGTATACAGACTTCAATGGAGACAGAAAAAAAACACCCCAACACCACTCCCTACATACTATTTATTAGGTTCTTAGTGACTGTGAATTGGGAAAGTGTTTACCATCACTGAGAGCTAAACATCCTTTCTTAAATAACCTAAAGTTTAACATTCAAGGAATTATGGTTATCACATATCAATATACAGCATCCATATTATGCCCAAGACACTATTGCATCCCACTAATTAAACTAAAATACTAAGTGAACCTAAGGACTAGGAACCCGCTCACTTCCTGCTGGCAAGGGAAGAAAGCATTCTGGGGCTTTAAAACCTGAGGGTGCATATACATCACCTTATACTCCAACATAATGTATCTACTTGTGCGCATGTCGATTCATCTGTATCATCAGGGCAGGGCACAAACCCCTCTGTATGCTAATTGCATACTTCTTTGGGTACTAATGTTATCGTGAACTGGAGCCTTAGTCCAAAGTGCAATCTGTAAAGATCTGGATCTGGTAAAAACTGCATGTTTTTTCTTTTTTGAAATAAATGTAGCTTTTGTCAGAACATATAAGTTAATATTAATTTAATGTAAAGTGCACTAGCTACATCTAACAGTGGTGGTCTGCTGTAACAGTGAAATACTCACAACCAGTTCTGCATTGGAGTTCTGAATATCAGACAGTGATCTTTGTTCACAGAATCTCCTATGAAGAGCACAAAGGCTATAAGTTAGTTGATAAAAATACAGGAGATTATTCTTGGCCCGTACCTGCATTCATTCACCTCTGAATAGCTGAATGCACTGCTGCCATTTTTTAAATTATAAAATTACTTCTTTGTGAGCAGTCAGACTCTGCAGAGCAGAAGACAGCAGTTGACAGCAGGTTGATTAGAGCCCTTTGAGTCAGAGAGGTTGCTTTCAAACAAAATATTAAGTAGAAAGGCGCCAGTCGTTTTGAATAGTACATATCTGCAGTTACTAATTTCCCAAGCAATACTGAAAATAATTTATTTTACCATAACATAGTAAATTAGCAAACAATATCAAAAAAATCTTACTCAAAGTAGGGCCATGTCAGGCATCTGCAACCTTAGCTGGGTTCCAACCAGCAAGCTTATCTGTATAAGGATCTAATCATATGACTTTTAATACCTGAGAATTGTTTGAAACTGAGCATTTCATAATTAGGGAGAGAGGAAGGGAAAAGGAAAAAGCAGCTGTGTTTCAAAGAGTAACAAACATTACCATGACTGTGTGTCCAAAAACCGCATTTCTCTCAGACATACCTACCAGCATGTGGTAGAAATCTTCATTGTTCCACTGGATGGATTTTTCTGCTTTTACGATCTGTCAGTCAATCTGACAATAGGCTACTTACCTGCTTCGAAGTTGTCAAGAAAATAGTCATATCCCCCACTAACAACTTTGCTATAACTGTAACAGCATACACCTTAGCTCTTGTTTTCTAAGCATAAATTTGAACACAACAGTTATCTGGCAGGTTTTATAATACTTGAAAGTTAATTCACTCCAAAGTTCTTGTTAAAAGCCACTTTCCTAAAGATTATACTGTATAGAGTACATTTTCACACTGATGAAAAACAGGTGCAACATGAGACTTCTTAGCAAAGCACAGAGGAAATGGTATTTCCTGGTCTAATATTCAAAAAGGAAATACCACTTATTAATAAAAGTGTACATCCAAAGCCTTAACTCACAGTTCTGGTATTAGGTGGAATGTAAGCAGACCCTACTTTCTCCAAGACTGCAGCTATTAGCAGCTACAATTGCTAATATTTGCAAAATGTGCTTGCACTTTGCATAATTTTTAAACAGACCTAGCATAAAGTGCTTGCAAGAACCATAGCCATCACTGAACTTCAACCGCAAAGTACAACCTATAAACTAATTGCATCTAGGTATCTCTTATCTTTACAAAACAGGCTGAAAACAAACAGAAAATCTGAATCTACTATTCTTTCATAAGAATGCAAGACTTAGTGTCACATTTCATTGCTTGCTGAAATCTAAGAATTCAGCCTGTTTTTAAGTGGTTGTCTACTTTTTTCCTAAGTAACTGGCAGAGCACTAGACAATTGTTCGTGTCACTTTGCAATGCACTGGTGAGAAGTTAACTCTCAAATCAGACGTACAGTTAGGCACCTACGAGTTTTTATAGTTTAATCAAACTGTCAATCCATGCTGACCTGAGCTCTTACTGAAGTTCATGTTCACACTTCTGTGTGAGCTTCAAGGCCAAATTCAAGACCAAATGTGTTTGTAGAGGTAGAATGGGATTTCTGTAGCATTTTGGTAAGAGGGAAATATGCAGCATACAAATGTCCACAGGTCAATGGAAATACACCAAAATTCAAAACCCTTGAACTCCTATTTAGTTTTAGGGACTGAATCTTCTGTCAGTTATTCTGTTATTTACACTGCCTAACTGCCCCGATCCAGTTATCCAGTTGCAAACGCTTTGCACTGGTCTCCTGTTGTGCTTAGGGAACCAACCACACACTGTGATCCAATATGATATACAGCCAGCCTCCCCATGTTACATGCTGGACTGGGAGGAGCACATGCTTCCAGCACACTCTTGTGGCCATGGGCAACCACATCAAAATCAGAGCTGAGAAGGTCACAAGATGACATGTAGGCATCTCTGACTGCCTTCTTTCACAATGAAGGCCTTAAGCCACAAGTTACGAAACAAGTGAATCAAGCACCAGAGGTGACCTACTACTGGAGAAACATAACTCCTTGACCCTGGTATTTGGAAAGAGCTTTTATCAAGAGAAATGCTACATTGAATACACAGTGCAAAACAGAGCCAACCAGAGAAGTGGCTACTTTAGCCAGAGAGAGGAAAGAACACACTTGCCTCCTCTTTCTATGACATCTGAAGAGCTGTGTATCTCAGGAGAAGACAAAATACAAACCTATTCATTTATCATTATTTAAATACTGTCTGTGCTGGAACACCAAGTTGAAACTCCATCCCTATTCCATGGCCAACTTCATGTGATCTTCACAGGTGATTTCTTGTGTGCACACAGGAGGGTGACGTAAGGAACCCCAATGAACGCCCATCTTTCACTCGGCCAGAACTTTATGACAGGGCCCTGCTCAGGGATCTCAGAGGCAGCATCGAAGTAAGCGAAGCAGACGCAGCCCAGGTATGCGGCAAGGCAAATCAAAATGTGCCTGAGAAAAGAGACACACCCCCCCAAAAAAAAAAAATCAACATGACTTCAGTAAAGCAATCAAATATATCACCATGCTTTAAAATCAGTCTGTCCTTCACCTTCTTCCCCTGAATCCCCCATAGGTTTGCTGTCTGCCCTTTGTGTGCAGACAAAGGATACTGAGAATTCTCAGAAAAACTACAAAACCATAGTTCATCCTTGGTCCAAACTGGCTGCAGCTTTTTGGCCTCTCTGCATCTGACAGAGTTGTGTAGAAATGCTGAGACACGGCACCTTGAATAAGAGAGCACAATTTGCTGTGTGGTAAAAGAGGAAAGGCATGAAAGCCCTTCACAGCTCCCCAACTTCATCCTGATTCTTAACAGTGGAAGTTTAAGCTTTCACAGTCACTGCTTCAGTTGAGCAGTGCTGTGGGATTTTTTGGGGGGAGGCAAGGAATTCAGTTCCAATTAATCAACTTAGTGTCTGAAGAATCTGATAAGGCCAAAGAGCCTCCTAAGTCTACCACCTTGGACAGCATGAGACTTGCTCTGGGCTTATAACCTTACCAGTAATTCTCTCTAGCACAAACCAGAAACAGCCACCAGGCAGGACAGAAGGGTAATGTGGTGAGGATCTAGAGTTTATACACAACACTTACCATACACAGTGTAAATAGGGGAAGTTAAATGAGGACCAGATCTCACAAAACGCTTTGTCACTGATCCAGCAGAAAAGTGCTAGCATCCACCAAAGACCTGAAAAGAGACCCAGTTTGTACACACGCAGGTTTTCACACCTGAGGAGAAAAACACAAAGAAATTGTTATAAAACAAAACAAAACTTGCTTTTTAATGGCAACTTGATGCTTTTTAGCTCTATGTATTTTAGGGTAGGATTCATACTGCCAGGCACACATCTTTAAAATGGCTCCACCATCAATGTCCTTAACAGAGGAACTTTACTTACACTAAATATGGCTCTGATACAAGGCAGTGGTGAGGTGACAAAACAAACCTTTTAATCAGTAGCTGTGTTTTGGGTACTGTCTTAAATACCTATGTGCAAATAGTGGGCAAACATCAAAGCATTCTTGTATCTACGGAGGGGTATTTAGAACAACTAGTGATTAGTTATACTGTCTGGCAACAACTAGCCACGCAGCAGGTGCTCAGATTTGTTTATATTTGTCACTAAGCAAAGATTGGCAAAAAGGAACTGGATGAGGGTTTTTTAATTAGGTAGTTTATTTCTTCCCCCTACACCTTAGTACTGTACAATCTAACAGTTGCCAAGAACTTCTAATCTAGCAGCCTCTACCCAGCAGGCCCAAAGAAGCATGCTTCAGTAGATGGTGCAGGCATCCACATGTCAGACAGAATTCCTCAAGCTGACTAAGATGCAGCCCTGTCTCTCCACAAGAACTCTGACTTGTTCCTATAGAGGTACACCAGAGAGAAAGACAGCACAAAACATCTTCCGTGGTTACACAGAATCATAGAACCATTAAGGCTGGAAAAGACCTCAAGGATCATCAAGTCAAACCGTCAACCCACACCACCCTAACTCACTAAACCATGTCCCTAAGCACCACATCTATACATTTCTTGAACACCTCCAGGGATGGTGACTCCACCACTTCCCTGGGCAGCCTGTTCCAATGCCTGATCACTCTTTCAGTGAAGAAATTTTTTCCAATATCTAGCCTAAACCTTGCGTGGCGCAACTTGAGGCCGTTTCCTCTCACCCTATCACTTGTTACTTTAGAGAAGAGGCCAGCACCCACCTCACCACACCCTCCTTTCAGGTAGTTGTAGAGAGTGATGAGGTCTCCTCTCAGCCTCTTCTTCTCTAGACTAAACAACCCCAGCTCCCTCAGCCGCTCCTCATAAGACCTGTGCTCCAGACCCTTCATCAGCTTTGTTGCCCTTCTCTGGACCTGCTCCATGAAGCCTGGTGTACAGTTGACCACTACTGAATACAACAGCAGATGCCAGGATACTTGAGTAGCATTACCTGTGTTGCAGGTCTACTTGAAAGCTCACAATTTTATTTCCCTGTATGATGCTTTGTTCTTTTCGACATCTTGGAACTATGCTAAGAACTGTGCAGGTTTGCTCAAAAGAGCAAAATCAGGAAAAAAGGAGGCATCAATATAATCTTCAGGTCCCAAAATGCTATTAAAGTCAATAATTTGTTGTCTGCTGACACTTGCTCTTTTGCAGTTAGACCTCTTGGTGCCAGTAGATGCAGGTCTGCTGTTACAGCGATCTATAACACACAGCTAGACTGGGATGTGATCAGCCCTGTGTGTCCAAGGGAAGGCATGGTTCAGCTCCCCTGCCTCCTGCAAGAACAAAGCTATGATTTGCGATTTCCCTCCTGCCTTTTTTTGTTATTGTTAGACTCTTCTTGGATTTCCCAGGGATGTGAGAACCATTCAGTGCTCTTGGAGACAATTCTTGCTTCAATGAACTGCTCTTCTCAGGTCACTGATATGAGCTCACAAAGCACTCCCAAACCTCCTAATAAGATGACAGAATAGTTTGTTGCAGGTTACTTGTTTCAGATATATCTCAAGAGTAAACCAATAAGCCAAATCTCTAGCCAGTATAACCAGAAATACTCAGCCTTCATCAGGATTACAGGCCCCTGTCTTCTCCTTCTACATCCCAGAAGGGAAACAGGTCAATGTCAAGTGCCCCACAATCCCTTCCTCTGTCGCAGGTCTTCAAGAGGGGCTTCTCTAATCCACATTCATCTTCTATGTCTCACACCTCTGCCAAAAAGTTATTGGGAATGTCTCCGTGCCTCTTACAGATCACCAGCTCACCCTTCTCTCTGCTCCAACCCAGTCACCCCAGTAGACTTGACAATGAATCACCTGTCTTCTTCCACACAATACTTGGGCTCATTCGCTGCATCCAGAAGATGAGCAATGCCTGGCAAATAGGTCCTTTAAAGGGACACTTCACCTTATGACACTCAGAAGCAATTAAAATGTGTACCCCTGGAGGAGGAAGCTAGAATAAGGAAACACTTTTACTGTGTGCACTGCAGGAGTATTTATGGTCCCTGATCTTAATACATGACTGTCCTTGACAACTGACTAACATAGTGCAGCACAGACCAAAAAGCTCTTTGGTCCTTCTGTCTTCCACACAAAATACTTGTCAGCCTGAAACCTGTTGTTCTCATTTGATACATTTACAGAGTTCTAATTTTTCCAACGTTTACCACTAATTGTCTCCGTGGCTGCACACAGCCTACAAGCCACATGCTACCCCACATTCACTGTCAGGAAAGTAGGAATTCCAGCTCTGTCCCCAAGCTAAAATTTGTCGCTACACCCTTCTTCATGTGTGAGATAATCTTCAACTACTCGGTCAGAGCAGGACAAAGGCAGAGAATGACTCTGCCTCTCAGTGGTGGAGAAGCAGAACTGCCACGGGTACCGGAGCTTTGCTAAGGGAGCCCAGCTAAGCATTCAAAAAATTGGTAACATACACAGAGTGCTCTGTCCAGGAACACTTTTTCTGAACGTACTGCGAGCACAGCAGTATGCCTGGTTCTGGTGTATTGCAAGCTAAAGAATTAGTACAGGGTTCCCTGCAGGATATTTTTTTCACTCTTGAAATGCTATTTCAATTGACATTTTAACAGTCATTTGGGATTAAGAAACTCCTAAGGCTGAGCAGAGGGCACCTTTATAGCTACTGGATTAATGACAGAAAAGCTACCAACTGCCAAATCTTGTTGACAGAGGATTTTCTCCAGTGCACTTTGCACAAGTTGGTTTTAGAATCTGGCATTTCATTTTTAAGCTATCCATAAATAATGTCATGTTCAAAATCATCACACCTATCTTTATTATTCAAAAAAGTGCTTCAAATACCGGCTAAACTGTCATATTAAGGCTCCAAGGAGACTTAATAGCAGCCTTCCAGTACCTGAAGGGGGCCTACAGGAGAGATGGGGAGGCACTCTTTATCAGGGAGTGTAGTGAGAAGACAAGGGGTAGTGCTTATGAGCTAAAAGAGGGTAGATTTAGACTAGACATTAGGAAGAAATTTTTCACTGTGAGGGTGGTGAGACACTGGAACAGGTTGCCCAGAGAAGCTGTGGATGCCCCATCCCTGGAGGGGTTCAAGGCCAGGCTGGATGAGGCTTTGAGCAACCTGGTCTACGGGAGGTGTCCCTGCCCATGGCAGTGGGGTTGGAACTTGATGATCTTTAAGGTCATTTCCAACCCAAACCATTCTATGATTCTATGATCTCCTCCACAAGACAGATATCACAGTAGTTGTTTCCATAACAAAAACACCTACATGACTGCCACACAAATTAATACAGCACATAGCATATAAACCAAAATGCCTTTTTTTCTGAGGCCTGTATTCTCCAATCCATTTGACAAACCAAGATATTGTCAGAGGAGACACAGCTTGCCCAAGATGGCTTCAACACTGTCTGTGCTGTACACTGTAAAAAAAGGCTTGTTTTTCTGAGATAGTGTCCTTTTAAGAAGGCTACAAGGAGCACAAAGAAAATAAAGGGTAAGGAGATTTCTGAGTTGCCTATCAAGTTCCAGAGTGCAGCTATAAGCATTCTTCCCCATACTTTCTTAAGAGACACCCCAGTAAGAAATACATCCAAGATTTGAAACAGTTATATCAGTAAAACTATACTGGAAAATCCTCCTCATTTTGGAGGATTCATGCTTCTACCAAATGGCTAGACAGCATTGATCCCTTCATAAAAGAAGAGGGAAAATGGTTATTGGTCAAAAACAGCCAGTGTATTAAGTACACCAGCATTAATGCGAGAGAATTAAGCCTAAGGCAGATGTACAGTCTTCAATGAGACACACAATTGTTCATAAGAGCAAGATGCTAAACAATGTACCTAAATGGATACATGCACGAATCAATTTCGTACATTTGACAGGTAAAACTAGACTGCTGTGATGGGTACTTGTGTGTTCTGACAGAGCAAAGGGTGTTTGTACTGACAACACAGAGGCTTTCCTGGACCTGTCTGAAGGACATAAACAACCACGTGCAACTACATCCCATTTAAAATAAGAGGCTTGGCCTCAAACATCCAGCTTCTTTAGTCAGTTATCATGCCTGCCAATATCTGACTAGTTTGAATACCAAGAGGAGAGGATAAATAACCTGCATGGTTCAAAGAGTTCAAGGCTGCAAAGGAAAACTGAAAGCTTATTTGAAGAAACTGTCCCAATGCAAGATCAGCCACAGAAATGGTATAAATTCTAATGACAGCTTTGCTTAGGACCACCATCAGGCACTGCAATTATTTTTATAAACTTAAGACTAGATGCTACAGGGTGCATTGCAAAAGACTACTACTGTAATACTCCTGGGTTTTCTGTGATCACCCATCATCGAGTCTTCAGTTCCTGCAGTGACTGTGCTTTGGATGGCCTGAGGACACACTTGCTGAGGAAGACAGGGGACTGCAAAGCTTCCTGTCTGACACTGCTTTTACCACAATGAGGTGATGTAATGCAAATACCACCTGGACACTGGCAAGAGACATGAACCCCACACATTTCTTTTATTTCTCAATACATATGGACACTCACCATTCAGATTAACACTGAAACAGAACCTGTCAGCTGAAAGTCTGAAAGAGCTGTTCATGCTGCTAAGCACAGATCTGTGACATGCTCCTACCCTACTCTAGTCCAAAACAAATTGGACCCCACAAAGCTTCCATTTCCATTTGCACCTTTTGCCTATATACTGCGCTGTGTTCTTGGTTTCAGCACAAACAGCAATTATTTAAATACCAGAGTTTCCGCAAACACTGGTGTGCCCCAGCCATCTGCTCTCCAAGGGACTGGGCTGGTCCATGCTTCCAGCATCTTCCAATGTCACGGCACCCCCATCAAAGCATACCAGCTTTTCTTCAAACCCGTGCAGGTTCCTGATGTCAATTAACTGCTTGATTCAATTTAACATAGATATATCCCCTTTTACCCTAAGGGATATTTTAAATTTTTACCTACCTTAACCTTTTAGTTTAGGGAATAAAGGAAGTGAGAGCAACCTATAAAAATGAAGCACAGCTTCCCCACAGCCAGATTTCTAGTAGGAGAAACCAAATATGAACAGATAGACCTGAACCAAATCTTCACTGCTCAAGGCTCACATTTCACCTGAGCCACAATATTCTAGCATCTGTCTGCACCTGGAGATAGTTACATGCCTGATGATGAATCATTAAAACATACTAATTTCATGATGTTATAGTCTCAATGGTTATTTGGCTTGGACCAGCAAAACAAAAGATCCACATCCATTTTCTCCCTGACACCATTCCCTAGGAGACCTTTTTTTTTTTTTAATGAAACACATGAAGGGATTTGTTTGGACAGAAATGAGAATAAAATTTTACAATTTATTTGTCTTTCAAGGACAAGTATGCACTTAACTACCGTCTACTCTCTTGATCATCTCCCACTCACAATACTTCCTAGCATACACTCTACCCTACCAGCTCCCCATTTAAGAACATAGTACTCTTTTGTGACAATATTATCTCCTCAGCAAGGACAAATGAGAGGCAGAAAATTCTCATTTGAAAACAAAGTGGTTCTGATTCACCGCAATTCTGTACAAGATTGACACAGCCTAGAACAGGAATAACAACAGGGAGTTTTGGTCTAACCCATCACAAACTTCAGTACGGAGCAGAAGAAATTACTCTGAAGGCTTTTCTCCTTCTTTGCTCAAATGCCTGTTTTGCAGATAAATTTCTGCTGCAGACTGCCAGGACGCCGACGTGTATCCCCCTACTGACTGTGGTAGTAGAGAATGGGAGAATCACAGGCATTTTAAATAATGCTTAGATTGTTTTCTCTCCTGCAAAAACAGATGAGATTAGTCCTCTCCTCTGGGTTTACAAGAATATATCTCATGTAACTATCCTAGGGATCAGCATAGCTTAAAATAAAAACTTTAATTATTTGCCTTTTACACTGAGGAATTAATTTAAAAAAAAAACATCGGTATCACATCATCCCAATGCACAATTAAGAGGGCCATACGTCACTGTAGGTCCCTTTTTAATCACCAATTCAAAATAATGTTTACCTGCGTCCTGAAGTATCTGTCAAAAAAAAGACAGGGAAACTCCACAGGTATGACCTTTCAAGAAGGAGTTTTAAAAAGCAAACATCTGTAGGCATACCAATCCCTAGATTTGTCGCAATAGTATTCAAACCTACAAGACACTAACTATTAATCCTTTTAAATTTCTCAGGACCTCATGCCTGGAAAACTGATATGTAGAGAGTTCACATAAATTATTCAGTGCCACAACCAGATGTCCATTTGCCCTGTCCATAGTTCCCTGGTGCTTTCATCAAAATAAGACACCTCCACCAACATTCTTCAGCTACTGACCTTGTTTGCAACTAACTTGTGCACTGTTTCCCATGTTTCTTTGACCACACAGAAATAAGCGCTGCTCAGCAGGATGTCTAATGAGGAAAGACTCAGCAACACCTTTACAAACATTGTCAGCAGAAGCTTCCGCTATATGAAGAAGCAGTGGGAGAACAGGGTAAGCAAACAGGAGAATCGGTCCATTCTAACACAAGCAATCAGAACACAGACATTTGGCCCTACTCTTGTTTCTTTTGATGGGCTTTTATATATGCAATATGTAAGAGCCAACATAAGTTGTAAAATCCTTCTCAAACACTGCAAAAGAGAAGGAAAGGACAAGTTCATACACTGGTACTTGTCTGGGCTTTTCTGCAGGAGGTGTTAAGGATGAAAAAAAAACTCTGGACAGCTGCTGGTATTGCTATCATCGCAGGACTCTTTAAAATGTTAAGATCAGTCTCAGGTTCTTCTCTATTTGCATTCTGGTTTTATAGTTTCTAAGGCCCCAACTGAAAGCTATTCTTTACAACCTAGTGATTAACCTTATGTTTGTCAGTCTGACTCCATTATATCATCCATGTCAGAAGACAAAGTGGTGTAAGACTCACAGTACAACTTTGAGAGCTGGAAAGTCTTCCACTCGTGCTTGGGCCTTGCTCCACACTGCCTCTAGTACCCAGACTGTGATCATGCGATCACCTTACCATTATGCAGACTACAGTGCAAAAACACCGTCAGAGGAGCGAAACCCCTGCCCTGATTCCACAGTAAACAAACAAATTTAAATTAGATCAGGTTGCAGCAAGAGATATGTGGCAAGAAGATAGACAATATTTGACCTAGACTAATAGTCTAGGGGAGAAAAAAAACCTTGACAAAAATGTCTGAACTAGCAGAGCAAGTTTATACCAGATCTGCACTTGCATGTGGGAGAAGCATTTCTAATCCGCTATCACAAGCACTGAAGCCAGATCTAGTGGATCATCACACAGTGGTCTAAGGATCTCAGAAGGCAACGCTGCATTCAGGAGAAATGTACTCACCTCTTCAACTCAGCAATGAGCAAAGCTGTGCAGGGAACACCCAGAGTCATTAATGAGATGTTGTTGATGGCAGGCTTAATGAAGGCGAGGCAGGTAGTAACTCCAGACAGGACACCCACGGCAGCTTTAAACCGGCTCCTGAATAGGGTTTTTAGGAGGAGAAAAACTGCTTTTAATTCAAAACTTTTAATTACTAAACCCAGAAATCTGAAAACTATTTTAATAAAGTAGCAAAATTTAGGTTTCTCTAGGTGTATTCAGGAGGTGCAATGACAATGTGCATAAAATAGATGTGGATCTTGCACAGATTTGCATGTGCATGCAGAGTTAATCATACACACAAACCTTTGCTGGACTACAGTCTTCTGAAGCAGCCATATATACGTATACATACGTGTGCACACTCCCACTAAGCGCTAGTTTCAAAATCTAAGGGCCACACACTGATCTTCCTCCTCCCGCAATGAGTCAAGAACAAGTCCATCTCTGCACACACTGCTGTACTTCCTCAATGCAGTGTTGTGTCATCATTCTTCATGCTTTTAATACGGATTTTTAGGATATTTTGTCACCATTAATGCCTCAACTTCTAGAGTCATGTTAGAGCCCATTTTATTTTCCTTCATTTCTTTTAGGCTGTCTTGGGTCAGGGCCACAACCACGGGGTCGCTCCCTCCCCTCCCCAGCCAGCCTTTTCCCCTCCCCATAAGATGGGGGAAAGGACAAAAAAAAAAAAAAAAAAAGTGGAACCTCGTGAGTTAACGACAGATTTTCAGAAAAAGGAGAATATAATAATAAGATATCAAATACAATGAAAACACTGATACAATGGAAACCTTCTCACCACCAAGAGCTTCACAAAGACCCCCCCACCCCTCTCCCAGATAGCTTCGCCTTATATCCTGTATCCCCAGCATGAGGAAGCCCACCTCCCAGCTTCTGTGAAAAATTAACCCTATCCCAGATGAACCCAGGACAATTAGGCCTTAAAGATACTGAAAACTACAAGGCAGGTAAGAATATTTATTTTAACCAAATTCATCAGTAGGCACCTGACTCCCTCACTTTTTCAAGATTATAGTTTGGTATATTTTTAGCATAAATTAAATGACAACTGGGCCCTACCTAGACAGGCTGACAACTTTTAAATTAAATGTACGTTAACTGTTCTTTAAACTGCAAATTTGGACTTTAAACAACCCATTTCCAGTCTGCAGCGGGACTATGGCAGACAGAGGATCATCATGCTGCCCTTCAACTAGTGGCCCATAGCTTTATAAAACCAGTTGCTGTCCAAGGATGGCTCTTCTGTCCTTAATTCTATCTCTGAAGTAGATCTCAGCGTACTTGCGCACCACTATTCCCTGGCCACAAGCGTCACAGAATCACACAGAATCACAGAATG